GCTGCGTGTGGCCACTACAGCTGCGACTGGAAACAATCACAGCAGCACTCATGACCCCGGGTGGCAGCGGTGACATCATCCGTTTTGTGGAGCGCCTGCTGTTCCTGTGGATGCCCGCACCGTACCAGCACGTCCCGGACGCGCGCCCCACCTTCATGGTGCACGCCGACGATCCAGAGGCACCAGAAAAGGAGGCCATCCAGCCGGGGCCACGATCAGCGCCACGGGCGGCCACCTGCCGTCCTCCGCTGGAGCCCACGATGGAAGCACGGCGGTGGCGGCTGACACTGGCAGGGTGCGCAGTTGTGGAGCTCCAACAGCATGAGCACACATTCACGTGCTTCAAGGGCCGGCACCACACCCGCTGCCGCATGGGCCTGCCGCGTGACCTGCAGCCAATATCCCAGACGACCAGCACAGGCGCGCTGCTGCTCAAGCGGCGCGGGCAGCGGCTGAGCACGTACAACAGGGCGCTCATGTACGCACAGCCGTGCAATCAGTCGTGGTCTCTCACGTTCAAGGTCAGCAGAAAGCTGCAGGACATCCGTGAGTGGAAGAAGCAGCACCCCGATGCTCTGCCGGACGATCCTGATCAGCCCACACTCGACAGCATGCCTGTCGTGGCCACTGCAGCAGGCAACTATGCAACCAATTACGCCACCAAACTAGAAGGCCACAACCAGAGTGTGGCCACGGCGCAACAGCAGGACCTCCTGGAGGATCAGCAGGCCCGCCGGACACATGCACCCGACCGGCCGCCTCCCCCAAACGAGCACCGAGACCTGGGCTGCTTCCGTGTAGCTCACGCCAACAACCACCTCATCGGCAGCTACATGCACCCCACCTCGCTGCTGGCGCTGCAGGCGGAACAGGGGCGCAACTCGCTGGAATCACACACATATGAGTCCCATGACCTCCGTGTCTATAAAGCCCTGCTTACCACAGCGGCGCCGCAGGGAGCAGGTGAGGAGGCGGGCTCCATGACACCGGAGTTTGTCGTACAGGACGGGGCAGCCGCCGATGACGGCACTGCATGCCTTACGATCGTCGACCGTGGCATCGACTATCTCCACCAGGGCGCGCTGCTAGCGGCGTATTCACCCATCCTCATGACAATGTGGTTCCACAAGATGCGGCCCTTGACCTGACCACTTGCACGTGATCGCGTGTATGGCAACATGACGGTGTACCGCCCACTGACAGGTGCACTCGTGCCCGCTGCCATTTTTGCAGGTCCGCCGCCCGTCCAACTGCCGCAGCGCCTACCCTGCCGCATACGCGCCGCTTGCTGATAGCCACCCGCAGTTCAACACGCACTGCTGGCACCGGCGCACGACACCATCGCTGCCATGCACATATGGCGAAGTCCCACTGCTGCCAAATGAGGATGGCAGCGCGGAAGATAAAGAGGCCTACGCGGCGTGGGCGCTAGGCAACTTTGGGTCTTACAGTGCGGACACCGTACCACAGTACGGCACTCTGTGGCAGGCGCTGCAGCACGCATACAGCGGCCACAGCACGGCCAACCGCATTCTGCAGCACTTCTTGCAAAATGCGCGCCATCAGGCGCTAGCGCGTGTGGAGGAGGAGCTGCACCGCCGCCGAGGACATACAGCGGAAGAGCTGGCACACACGGATACCACCATCACCGAGCTGCTGGCCGACGGTGCAACTGCAGACGGCCAAGCGGCCCAGTGACAGCGTGAACAAGCCGCGCGGGACTATGAAGTAGCCGCAGAGATCGAAGCAGACTACGGCGAAATGGATGCCGCCGCAGTATTGTACGGCACCGCGCAGCTGTTGGCGGACCCGCCGCTCAGCGACATCTTCATCCACGCCGCAGCACCACTGCCGGATCCCGTCTGCCGCCGGCTCCAGCAGATTCTTATCGTGGAGGCCCCCCACCCAACCGCGTATACAAGCGACGCGCTCGTCACGCTGCCAGCGCCCATCCTACAGCATGACAGCAGCAGTCTCCGCTCCGCCAGCGCAATCACGCAGCAGGATCCTGCACGAGACACCGCTTATGTCTGCGGCCTCCTCCGTGAAGCCAGTGCATACACTGGGGCGCTGGAGGTACACCTGCAGCAGCAGCAAGTGCAAGGAATGCAGCTGCACATCATCAACCGCGGCCGGTCAGACGTGCACGTGCAGCTGGTGGTGTTGCCCGCGCCAACTACGATGGAGCAGGCGGACACAGCTGAGCCCCCCCGGGACATTCCGCAGGGGACACCGCCACCATACGTACTTATGCCGCTGGACGCACGGCCAACGCCTGAAGATACGGCGCGGCTGTTCACACTGGATGACAACCAGGCACCCGCATTCTACCTGCTGGCCTACACACTGCTGCTGGAGGGGCTCGGTCGCCAGCAGCCGCCGCTCAGCGTGGTCCTCACTGGCGACGCGGGCACCGGAAAGACACGTGCGCTGACAGCGCTACGACAAGGGTGGTTCGAGCTTCTTTGGTTTATCGCGTTGGCGTCGGTAGGCTAGCCGGAATAGTTTAGTTGGGTCGGTCGGGTCAGTCGCGCGTTCTAGTTTTTTTGGGGGTTTGGGAGGAGCACTTGCATACCGGCAGCCTTTCAGTATCAGCAATTCAGCCTTCTCTCCTGGCCAGCAACTTTACGCCACTTTTACGTCAGCACTATTTTACTCGCCGCCTTCACTACTATTTTTACACCTACTACTTTACGGATTGGCTATACTATTCAGCTTTTTATTTCTGGCGGCTTAGGTAGGTAGGAGTTCCAACATCTACGTCACTTCGTCATCCCGAGGTTACAGTCGTCACAGTCGCCACGGACGCCTTTCGGTCAGTTTTTATGTTTGCTACTATCTTGCCATGGCAGCAGCTTCAATCGCGTGTGGTTCGTCTTTTCCCCTTGGCGCCCTTTCGGAGCCTAGGGAAGGCAGTGCGCTCCAGGCCTTGTCTCACATTGCCGGGAGTCAAGTGCACATCTGATCGCGGGGATAGGGGGGGAATCGTCGACATAATTCCACACCCTGAGCTCGAGCGCTCTCAATTTCACCCTTCCCACCCCCTGGGGAGCCAAAAGTTGAAATAAAGATGCAATAAGACGGATTAAGGGGGCCCCCTCGGGGGGGGAGGAGAGGAGGGAGGAAAGGAGGCGGCGGCAATGAGCGAGCGGTATAAAGCGATCCCTCAGTGCCATCCTAGCTGCTGAGATTTGAGCTCTTTATGCTGACAAATAAATGGTATAAATACGTACACAAAACCCAAACCCTCTCACAAACCCAAGTCACACTTGTGCGTCTACAATCCCGGTCCCTTCATCGCCCTTCCCCTCCCTCCTCTTCTCTCCTCTCATCCCCCTCCACTAAACGCGCGTATATTGTTCCCCCGCGTGACCCGCAAAGCCCTTCGCTGTCGGAGCTCAGGTCCAGCGACCAGCGACTGTCCAACCCGGCCTGGTCACCAACTACCAACTGCCACTACCACCAAAAACGCCCCTAGGCGGTTTCCTCTCCTAAGTTCTTCGTTTGCTCGTTGGCACAGCGGCCCCCAGCAGCGTAACCCCCTTTCTCTTTCCCCCCTCCCCCTCCCCCCAAAGTCAGCAGTCACCCCCCTCAGCTGCCGAGTGTAGGCATGGTCTCGCCCGGGCCTTCCGTAACTTAGGGCAGGGTACATTCCACGTCAGTTCGTCTGTTTGTCCGTCGGTCAGGCCAGGATCCGGACCGTGAAGGTACCTTCGGGGTGGGGGGGGGAGAGGGCGCGGGGGAGGAGGGGTAGGTAGGTAGGGGTGGGGAATCATATACGCGCAGGAAGGGCAGTGAGCGGGTTGGGGAGGAGCATGGCGACCACATTGTCAGAGGGGGGAAAAGGGCGGGAGGAGGAAGGGGTCGAGCACGAGGAGCCTCACAGGAGCCATCAGCCGCCGCAGCCTCAACCCGCCGACAAGGGGGTGAAGGTGGGTGCTATGCGGGCTGTGGCGGTAGGGCTCAAGGGGGTGAAGGTGGGCGGAGAACGAAACACAGACCGATAGATAGACAGACATGGAGACAGACAGACAGACGGCTCGCGGCAGTCTTGGCCGTGGCCAGGTCTGGGGCAGGGAGGCGCTGGAGGGTACACGCTGGGTGTTCCACAATCCAACAGCCGGCTGGGACCCCACTTCAAATTGAACCCAATAACCCAACCCATGTACATACATACATACATACATACATACATACATACATATACATACATATGTACGAATAAACTTCATCGTGGTATCTGAACCAGACCCGCACATAACACAATCACAACTACCGCCGCAACCACCATAACCGCCACAACGGTGTTGACAATAACTAACTCACAGCTGGGCAACTGCTTTGGGTCGGCCTCCACCGTACAGCTGACCCCCAGGTGACATAAGGCCCCTCGTACGACGCCACAGGGGAGGTGCAGATAGCTGAGGGCCATCTGCCGTACTGGCTCCTCCCTAGCCACAGCCGCCGCCGCTGGGGGGTTCTGTCCGGAAGCCCCTGCCGTACTCGGTTGTTGAGCTGTCCTGGAACCGAACCCCGCCCCTGGTGCGGGTGTGGATAACCGTTGCAACCAACGGAAACCGTTGTCCTGCAACACATACACTCCCTGCGAGGGTTTTTATGGAGGGGGAAAAGGCGGCGGGCCGGGAGGCGGCGGCGGTGAGATGAGATAGAGAGACAGACAGACAGATAGATGCGAGATTTGCGTTTTGGGATTTGGCTTTTTGGTTTCGTCGCATTGATGTGGTGGTGAGGTGGAGATGGTGACGATGACCTCCTCCTTCTTCTTCTTCGCCTTCTTCTTGTTGTTCAGACACCGCCTCCCGGGCTGAGGCCGCCCTGTACGGCGCCCCCTCGTCATCATTCCACCCCTCCCCTCCCTTCTCTTCCCTCCCCTCCCTTCCTTAGTTCAATCGAAAATTACACAAAGTGGCGCACACGCACACACGCACACGCGCAGCAGTAACGCGGCCGTCCCCCGGATCCCGCGCGAGCGAACAAGGGTGCGCCAGGCACCCGTGGCGTTGGCTAACTCGCGTGCTGACAGCCATAACGACCCACGATGCGTCGTACATGATGGTGCCGTACGAAAGCTGTGGTAACTGTTATACAGTATAAGACCCACAAAGAAAGCAGTGTACGTACAACTAAACCGTTCCCTTCACACCCTTCCCTCCCTCTCTTCCTCCCTCTCTCCCTCCCTCTCGTCCTCCCCCCGCCCGTTGGGACCCGGCAGTCTATGGCTTGCAACCCACTTTCGCTGCTTACCACTACTCTGCTTGCCACTACTCTGCTTTGCTTACCACTACTCTGCTTGCCACTACTCTGCTTACCACTACTCTGCTTGCCACTACTCTGCTTACCACTACTCTGCTTGCACATAAAAGTAATGACCCCCCTAACCCCCCTACACACACACCATAATATTACTGATCCCCCTACCATCTTCCCCCCCATACACACATACACACACACAACCTCCCCGATGCCCCCAGGGACCAGGGCCCCTTCCCTCCAGCGGTGTTTCGGCAGTATCTCAGTACGTATGTCAGTCGCACCCGGTGGTTAGTTTTCAGGTTATCCACTTGCTTCTTGAACAGCGCCTGCCAGAAGTCCTTGCACAAGAACTTGATAATCTCCAACGTATCGCCCAGTCGGGGCTTGTCACGGGTATATCTGCGAGTGAGGAGACACGCGCGGTGGTCACCTTATGCTTGCATTGGTCCTTCTGGTCCACTTCACAGTTATGGGCTCTTACCTCTCGGCTAGCTGCTGCCCAACGCGGAATCCAATCGCCTCCAGCGCTGCTGCCGCAGCGGGGCCGCTTTGCTTTTCATGGAAAAGCCGCACAGCTTCCACGCATAACAGCTCCAAGCAGACCTGAAGTCCTCGTTGGGAAGATGTGGGGCGCAGGGAGCGGAAGGGCGGTTGTTAAGAGCAGCGGGTTGGTGGATGATACGGGGAAATGGAGCTCGAGGACAGCTTACAGAGCGGGACGGCAGCAGTAATCTGAGCACGCACCTCACCGCATCTCCTAGCTGGCTTCTTCACGCCAGGATTGGGGTTTGGTTGGAGTCCAGCCATGTAACTGTCCCTAGGGGCTGTGATCTCTGCAGCTTGGAAGCTATTGCCAAGTTCTATATGGCTTAGCCATATCTTCTATCAAGAAAGATAACGTTTAGGTAAGCATTCAATGCCTTCAACGCTTTTGCCCAGTACAGTCTTCTCACAAAGGTCTAGGGATAGTTAAGAGACCAGCAACATGTGGATAATTATGCGGCATGTGGGCTGATGATGCAATAGTATTACACAACGAGTCCCATAAGCTCAACACCTAAGCTTGCGCACACAGAAGTTGGTTCCGGAATACGGCGGACCTGTTCAGTAACGGGTAAAATATCGGGGAAGCCTCTCGTGGGCACGCTGAAACGGACCCCTTACTGTGTGAACGCATGCTTGAATTTCAATGGGCCGAATTGAAGCGGCAACGCAACTTTATAAGCTCAATTCTCGCGCGGACGGCTAGTTTAACTATGGCCTGATCACTTCACATGCTATTTGGACGCGTGACCATCAAACGAAAATGCGTTTTTGTTGTGCTCGATGGCGTTACAGTCACCAAATCCAGGACCGCCTACCGCTCATTCCGAAATACACCGACAGCTGCAGGGCGCACAGCGCTCCCTGGGCCTGCTGGGCTACCAGTAAACCACAATCCACATCCACATTCCAACATCAAAAAGCGCTGCCGCCTGATGGTCTCCTCCTCTTTGACCAGAAGCACCCTTTAACGCATTCGTCAACAGCCACACCACCACTCCCCAACAGCTCCCATCCACTACCGTCCTTCTCCACCACCACATCCATCAACACCAATCACGCACGCCGTCCCTCCTCGTCTTCCGCCTCCTCCTCCTCCTCCTCCTCTTCTACCATTTCCACATCCCGCCGCCTCATCCTGCTGGCTGGCGCGTCAGGCATGCTGCTACCGACCAATCTGCTACTCATCCCCCCTGGGAACCCGCCACCCGCAGCGGCCGCCCGGCTGCTGCATTCCAAACGCTCCGACGTGGCATGTTCGTTGACGGTGCGGAACCGGAGCCTGCGCCCCTTGGAGGCGCTGTGGGTGAACTACGACGGTGAGGGAGGGGAGTGAGATCGCAGACAGGAGGAAGAGACCGAAGAACGAGGCCGTTGGCTCTGCCCATACGCCATGCCTAAACGCAAAACCATGCAGAACTTATCAATCTACACGAACATGACCATAAAAATACTACGTCCTCGCACGCCCCGCCGAGCCGGTTGCATGGGCTCGACCCCACCTGGGAAGGGGAAGGAGGAGGGGAAGGAGGAGGGGAAGGGGAAGGAGGAGGGGAAGGGGAAGGAGGAGGGGAAGGGGGAGGGGGAAAAGACGAACCACGAGCGAGTGAAGCGAGGGGGAGGGGCGGGTAGGATAGGGTTCCATCGAGCTGTGCTGTGCGGCAGCCGTAGGGCAGTGATGTGTGGATGAGGAGATGTGTGCATGGATGGGGGAACGATTTGGGGAGGAAAGGTATGGTTGGGCAGGGCTGCCCGTCATATCTCGGCAATCGGCTCAGAAGCCTCCCACTCTGTAATATCCAAGATGATTCAATCAGCAATGTCCCTGCATGGTATTGTACTACAGTGCGTTGCAGTTGCAGTACATTGCGGTCCAGTTTTGATAGGGGCCGTACTTCGGTCCTATGGGCTGCTACTGGTGCTTCCTCGTCTCGTGTGCTTCAGGTGACGAGGAGCCGTACACAGTCGTACCGCCTGGTCATGCATGGACTGTCGACACATACGAGGTACGGCGTGTACGGCAGTACGACAAAAGAAGTACCATCGCGGTTCTCTTCCGTACAGGATGGGGCTCTGGTCCGGAAGGGCTGGCTGTGAGTACCCCAGTACCACATATCACCCCCCACATCACATCGCATCACATCATCGATGCCATCGTGCCCCCCCC